ACTTAGACTTCACATTCCAGTAATTTCCAATCTTTTCTCTCTCTCTCTCTCTCTCTCTCTCTCTCTCTCTCTCTCTCCCTCCCTCCCTCCCTCCCTCCCTCCCCCTCCCTCTCCCCCCTCTCCCTTCCTCTCATATCTATCTATCTATCTATCTATCTATCTATCTATCTATCTATCTATTATATATATCATCTATCTATCTATCTATCTATCTATCTATCTATCTCTAATCTATCTATCTATCTATCTATCTATCTATCTATCTATCTATCTATCATCTATCTCTATCTGACTTACGAATCACCCATCTCCCTCATAGAGGAGCTCTGGTGTACAATTTAATAAATACAATGAAGCATTAAAACTGAATAATTTAACATTAAGATTTTTAAAAAGTAAAACATTATATAATTGCAAGAGATGGAGAGATCCAAGATGGGCAGACTAAGTGTTGTTAATACAAGCGATGTGTAGGGGTTTCTCATGGGGTCACGGCCTCATGGCTGTGTAAGTCAGTGGTGGGTTGCTCCCGGTTCAGTCCAGTTCTATAGAACCGGTAGTAAAACTGGTGGGAGGCTCCACCTATCCACCACGATGTCATCATGGGTGATCTGTGCATGCGCAGAAGCTTCTGTGCGCGCGCTCCCATTGCGAACCGGTAGTAAAGGTAAGTGGAACCCACCCCTGGTGTAAGCCCTTGTGTCCCCCACGCAAAGCTGCACAGTGAGATTTGCAGAAGACTAGAATATTTGGGGCAACTTTTCCTCACCTCTGGGGCAAGATGTTCCACAAAGCAGGGCCTGTGGCAGAAAAGTCCCTCTTGCTAAACAAAACAAACAAAGAGAGAAACAACTCTGGCTTCTTTTAGACTTTGTCTTCTTAGCAATGGTAGAGACAGTCAATGTGGAAAGCATGGTGGCCCTTAAAAGATTTTGAGAGCAGCATAACAGAAGTCACCAACTAGAGATCTCAATTGTATTCAGGACAAATAACAAACCAATTTTACCCTATGGAATATTTTTTTACTCAAATATTCCTCTAATACAGGGGTGTCAAACTCGATTTCATTGAGGGCCGCATCAGAGTTGTGTTTGACCTTAGGGAGCCAGGAAAGGTGTGGCCAGCTCAGCGTCACTTGTGCTGGGGTACCTGTGGCGGCCTGAGCATTCTGCCAGTGAAAATGGGCACCCAAGCACCCTATGAGTGCTATATGAATTCACCCCAATATAATTTTAATTACTTACCTAAATATTGAAGGGATGAAAACCTTGTCCCGTGTGTTTCATATTAACATGTGAGTAAAAGTCATGCACCAAGTCACTTTGATGAATCATACCTCTGACACCTTCTACTTCAGGCAAAGCTATTAGTGATTAAATTGCTTATGCTCACTTTTAAGTGACATTTGGTGAATGCTGTTAATCAGTTTATGAATTAATTCCTCTCTTTCCCAACAAAGATACTTCAAACTTTGAAATTCTGAAGAATATCAGTTAAATTGTTTTGGGGCTCATGGAACAGCTTCTTAGGATCCATACAATGTTATTGTAACATTCTATGGCCCTGCAGCTTCACAATCAGAATTAGTTCTCATAATAATTAAACAATATTTTTTTCAAACAGATTTAACTCTATCCCGAAAGTTTTTGATGAAGGCAAAAAGAAACTGGATCCAGGAAGACACGCATTTGTTTTAATTAAAATAAATTACACTTTATTGCTACAAGTCACCATTAGGCTCAGCACATTTGCAAAATTCATTTAATGCTACTTAGATTTCTCTAATATTGTTAAAGAATCAGCTACCAACACTAAATTTAAAAAAAGTAATGGAGTTAAGTATCTAATAGGTTACCATATATATGGATATATGGTCTTAATATTGTGTATTCTGATATGGCCTTATGCCTAAACAAATTTAATTTTTATTACTACTACTAAAAGATACTGTGTTATTTGCTGCATCCTATTACTACATCCCTTAACAGGGTGTAAATATCAATCCTTTATGAAGTCCATCATTTTCAGTGCAGTGATAATGTTGCCTAGTTGGGTAATGAAACTTCTGCAAAGAAACAACTATGCTCAGAGAACACCAAGAACTCCTCAATTCAGTGCTGAGATACAGATATTATCTTAATAACATTTCAGAAGGTTTGATCACTTACACGGACACCTTAATGAGTAATGAGTTTTATGGATACTTGAATAAGTTTTATTGTTACGTTTTAGGTTTTGGCTTTGACTCTGTTTTTAATGCAGTGGCAAGAAGTTTCAGTAATGGTGGTTTATTAGTATGCTTTCATGGTATGCTTTTGTGAGTTTTATTGATATTATATTATGATATTTCCCAGCTATGACATTTATTGCTATAATGTGCCTAAGAGGGTTTAGAAATATTTAAATCACAAAAGCTATACAAATTTGAAAGCCCATTTTCCTTATGCTTCAAAGTAAAATCTATATTTAGAGCTATGCATTTTTGGCAGATGCTTCTGTCCATGTTTGGAAACATTGGAGAAGTAGGTTACCTAGAGAAAATGCTACCTTAATGCAGAATTCTTTTCTATTTACATTTTAAAACTTTATAGCCAACAAATATTTTGCAGGCTGAAAGTCACATCCATTCACAGGTAAGTTTTTTTTGGGGGGGGGAATTAGCTCTAAACAGGAGGAGGCACTCTGTAGACCCAAGGGCCCTCAGCAAGTTTAGGAGCTGACTCTGACCATGGATACTGAAAACCGATGGCACCATTTCTTGCCTTTTTAAGATGAGAAATATATGAAAGCTTTAGTGCAGGAGTATCAAACTGAATTTCATTGAGGGCTGCATCAGGGCTGTGGTTGACCTCATGGGCCCGGCCGGGCATGGCCGACTAGGTGGGTGTGGTCAACTGGGTGGGTGTGGCCATCTTGACACCACTCCCCAAACTGCTGGCATGTTTCTTCTTCACATTGGGTAGATTGGGCTGAAGCAACAGGGGCTAGCCCCTTACATTTTTCAGGATGGCCCCATGAGTCGGAGTCGACCACATCATGGCCCGGACGCGACCCTTGAGTTTGACACCCCTGCTTTAGTGGAAGTCTTAAGTGCACCACAGTGAAAACACAAAGCTCCTTCTAATTGCCCTCAAACCAAGATGATTTACGTTCTTTGTGACCTTTAACAACCCCCCTCCCCCCAAGTGCTTAATGCATCTTCTGTTGACAAAAGAGTGGCTTCTTTTAAATCTCAAATAATTTATTTCTAAACATATTGGAATAAATATTGCGCAAAGGCAACTCTAAAATTGTGTCAGCTACTTTTTCTAAGGCAGGGACAGCTATACGAGCTTTTCATGGAGAAACTCCACAGTAGGAGACATATATTTTTGTTTGAAATATTACCTTTTAAAAAAAAAAAAAATATTGGCCTAGGTTCAAAAATTAGCATTTCTAGTGTTTCATATGTAAAAACACACAAACTACAATTGTTTGGAAATATTGATACATACCTTATTTTCAAATAGTTTGATGCATATGGTATCTTTAGCACCTAAATTGTCTTGTTCTCTTCTTATATAATAAATGTTTTGTGTCAAAACTTCTTTGACAGCTTTGTTTTGAGAACTTTGTTTAATTCTGACAGTTCTGTCAGGAAAGAGCCATGGAATAAATAATCTTAGAACAGTTTATTTACCAGAAAAATAAAAATAATATATTTGTTGACTCCTGGTAACTGCCGGGAATAGTCCCTGCAGATTTTGAAATGGTGTCAAGAAAATGGAATACTTTGCCACTGTTTCATTCTTATATCTAAGAGGGAGTGACTGGCTCAAGATCACCTAAAGCAGGGGTGTCAAACTCAAGGCCCGCGGGCCACAGGGCCGCCTTGGAAACAGTGGAGGACCGGTCCGCATGCGCCCCCCCCCCCAGTCTCCATTTTCACTGACAGAGGGCTAGCAAAACAAACTAAAAGCAAAGCAAAACAAAAGGAGAAATGTTTCCCCTTTTGCATTTGAGCATCCAAGAAGGGACAGAAAGGAGAAAGGGTAAAGAGAAAAGACAAAGAAAAAAAAAAAGGAAGGATGGGAAGAGAGCAAGGAATGTAAAATAAGGAAAGAGGGGAAGGAAGAAGAAAAGAGAATGAAGAGGGAAGGAAAAAGAAGAAAAGGAAGGAAGGAAGGAAGAGATTAAAGTGAGAGGGAGGGAGGGTCTGAGGGAAGTCCTGCCTTAGCATTTGGCCACTACAAGTGCTCCCGACACAAATGATGTCAAACTGGCCATGCCCCCCCTGGCCCCCCCAAGATCAAACATAACCCTGATGCAGTCCTCAATGAAATCGAGTTTGACACCCCTGACCTAAGGCAAGTTTTGTGCTTAAGGCAAGACTGGAACTCATGATCTCCCAGTTTCTACTCTCATGCCTTAACCTCTACACCAAACTGGTTCTCAGTATAATGCAGCCTCCAAAAATCTTTATTCTGAAGAAATGGACATATTCTGAAAAAGGTATTTTGCAAATTACCCTCCTTGTTTGAAGTTATCCCAAAGCTCTGTGTCTTTATTGGTGGCATCTTTCTGTTAAATTTCCAATAGTGGATATTTTCTCTCCATTTTTAAAGAAACACACATCAATTAGATACTACAGGCAGTGTTTTCATGAGATCAGCACCATTTTGCTTTTAACAATAGCCTCTGGAAGAGTTCTATGAAGCAATGCCTGCCATTCCAACACAGATGCTTTTGTTAGAGAAATTCTCATTTGTAATAAGATAAAACACATTTAAAAAAAAACCCAGGAAAAATAAAAGCTAGTGTTGTTAATTTTGGATAAGCCCCCTTCTCCCAATCCTGACAATTTCTAAGAATTTGCAGCATTCCAGAATTCACCAATTGCTTTATATGGGGAAGTGGCTCTTGAAACCATCCAAATTTAGTATCTATTTTGCCTTTCTAATCAAGTGTTCTGCATAGCCCTAAAGTAAAATAGGATCAAACTACAGGTAGTTCTTGATTCATGACTATTTATTTAAAAACCATTCAAAGTTACAACAGTACTGAAAAAAGTGACTTATACATGCACATTTGGGATAACCGTGACCTGGATGATTGAGAAGCTCCATAGACATTTGACTTGTAAATGGTTCTTGCACGTACAACTATCACAGTGTCTCTTTGGTCACACGATTATGATTCAGGGGCTTGGCAACCAGCTTGGGGAAGTTGGGTCCTAGTTGTGTTTGTAAGTGAAGGACTACCTGTAATATGACTTATCATCTTAATTGTGAATAAAAGTGATTCTGTTGGTCAGGAATGAAAAAAAAAATCCAACTGGTATGTGTGTGTGTGTGTGTGTGTGTGTGTGTGTGTGTGTGTTTCTGTATGTATGCATATGTATATACACTACCTTGTTGCTTTCAGATACCAATGCTGCTACAACATACAATGTTCAGTAACACTCAAAATTTATCAAATTACAACTTGCACTATAAATTAGATTTAATGAGTATTTAGTTTGCCACATACAATGTTCTAAAACTTGCTGGTCTTCCACATACTAACCTTTTATGCTCTTAGATTCTTTATGATTTTTAATGACTGTAACTCACCCTCCTTATGCTGATCTATTATTGCAATAATGATTTCATTTGATTTGATTTGAGTGATCTTTTCTGGTTTGGTAATCTGAGTGTATCTTTGGTAATTTGGACAGAAAGTGTTAGTATAAAAACATTTGCGTTTTATTATGCATAACAGAAACATTTTATAAGAGGCATATAGTTATAAGACATGCAGTTTTGCCACCAATTTTACCCTATGGAATATTTTTTTACTCAAATATTCCTCTAATACAGGGGTGTCAAACTCGATTTCATTGACGGCCGCATCAGAGTTGTGTTTGACCTCAGGGAGCCAGGAAAGGTGTGGCCAGCTCAGCGTCACTTGTGCTGGGGTACCTGTGGCGGCCTGAGCATTCTGCCAGTGAAAATGGGCACCCAAGCTCCGTTTTCGGCTGCGACAACCTCCTGCAACCCTCTGCCAGTGAAAAAGGACCTTGGGAGGACCTCACACAGCCCTCCTGGGCTCCGTTTTCACTGACAGAGGCACTGCGGGCCAGGCCTTTGCTGTTTCCAGGGCAGCCCTGTGGGCCAGATCTAAGCATCCTGCAGGCTGGATCTAGCCATGGGCATTGAGTTTGACATCCCTGCTCTAATATAAATATTTTGGGATTTTTTTTTCCTAACAGATACCTTTCCTTGTTCATTTGGATTTTGGTTCAGGATTACATTCCAATGTGCCAATAAGATACAAAAGGAATCAGCAGCCACTACTTTGTACTAACACTGTAGCCTCTTGGCTAATTGTAACATCACCATACGCTAAATAAATAATACAAAAGGAATCAGTTGCATAACTATGAAAAAGAATCAAGTCCAAAGAATTTCTCCTCCCTGTTTATTGGGGAATAGCCCCTATAGAGGTCTGCCAGGAAATTTTCTAGGTTCCTGCAACAGCTGTCAGAATGAATACTTGTCAGAATAAACCAAAGACTATCCAGATAAATTCTTATCAATAAATCAAGACATCAGTGCCAACAAAGTTCAGATATTTCCTTAACAACTTTCCCACAATTGATTGGAGGACTTGATTCACAGTTTGATGATCCTTGCTGTAAAGGAATTTACAGTCCAGTTTCTTCATCTGTTTTGAGCTGCTCCTTGAAATAATCCATCACCTAGAACGATAATAAGCAGGCAAAATTTGGCAGTTGCCTACAACATTCTAGAAAAATCTAGAGAAGTCTTTCCATGGACTTTACTAATTTAGCTCAAGCCACTTTCATAACACAGTTTCAATACTTGTAATTTGCCATACATCTTTTCCACCTCTGGTATTTTCTGAGAATAATCTCTGAGTTGGTGTATTTTTTTTTATGAGAAACAACACAGAGACAAGAGCAACAAAAAAATCATTAAGAGCAGTTGATTATTCAAAACAATCAAGATTAAAAGGAAACCCTTTTAAAAAGATTTTTGCTTCATTCAGTTCACTATTTGCTACCAAATGAATTGTGGAAAAATTACCCAAGGAAAAAAAAAAAGAAACCTTATCATTACCACTCTCCACCTCCCAAGGGCAAAAATAATTATTTTAAAGAGATCAGTCTTGATATTTTCTCTTTTAATCAATTCTGGTAGACTACAATTTACTTCATAATTCCCAGAAAGCAACCTAGATGGCAAAAATATTTCTTCCTTATTTTCCCAACCTTATTTATATATATGGAATATACTCATCAAAAAAAATTAAGAACTTTGGATGATTTGATTGGATTTAAATTCCTTTCAAGGGATTGGGGAAAGAAATATTGGCAAGGTACTAGTACCATAAGGTAATATAAATGTAGTACTTCAAATTAATATGGAGCAGACAGGACGTCTTGCATTTTTTTTTTATCACAGCTCATTCAATTGTTGGCAGATACTTTTTAAAGAAGCTCTTTCAAAAGAAAATAGAGTAGTTTTATTGCACTTATTTAGCGACAATATGGTTAAGGCATATTTCTGAATGCCAATCTTCCATTGTTTGGACAGCTGTCCAGTAGTTTATAATCTTTCTGTCTACCCATCTATCTATATAAAAATGGCTGTGTGTGTGTGTGTGTGTGTGTGTATGTTCCAGCATAACTCTGGAACGCCTTGAGCAATTTCAACCAAACTTGGTACACAGATGACTTACTCTCTAGAAAAAAATACTGTGGGGATAAGACACCCCTAACACCCCTCAGGGTGAATATAGTGGCTGTGCCACTCAGATGATTGATCCCGGCGGCCTTCTGCAGGGGCCACGCACCACCCACTGGGCCATTCCAGACGGTGAGGAGGACTGTTGCTGCCAGATGGGTGTCAGCCCAAGCAGTTACTATGGCGGCTGGCCACGCACAGCCCCAACACTGCTGGGTGCCGGATGGTGGTTACCGGTGGGAGGGGGTAGCCGGATGGACAGGGAGTGGGGCCCAAAGACTTATAGTGATTTTGTGTATGATTTTACTTTATAATGTGTATACTATACACATACTTTTAAAAGCCTGTAAGGATTGGGATACATAAATACCCGGGCAACGCTGGGTTATCAGCTAGTATATCAATACAATTCAAAGGGAAGATAACAAAAGCAAACTTCTTCCACTGGGGCTACTGCTCAGATGAAAGTCCTCTCCTTATGATTTATTTACATTTTCTTTCACCCCATTTTCCTGCCTGCAAATATGGTGAACACTGCTGTGGCCAAAAAACTTTTTGCTGAGCTCTCTCTGAGTATTTGAACAACTCAGTATAACATTTAATCGCAAAAATTATTCCAGAAGGAGGATTTTACATTTGACACTCATGGAATACAAATCCCATGTATTGGCAGTGGTCCAAATGTTATCCTCAAATGTTCAGAATAAATATTGGCAAGATCTATGGATAATTTACCTGCTGAGTGGTTTCCGTTTTACTTGTATGAATTTGCCAGAGCTTGAGTTTCTGCATATCATCCATGGAACTGTTTCCCTTTTTCAGTTGCTGTTGGAATAAGATGTGTTCTTCCTGCCTTGGTGGGATATTGGGCTTGACAGTGGTGTATGTGATCTTGTCTTCATAACTTCTATCTGTAGAAAGTGAGTGGAAATGATGAGGGAAAGTCATCATAAACATTCTTGGATTTCTTGGTAAGGAAGCGAGATAAATCTCAACACAGCATTGCTATTTCTGAACACATGGGATGGGCCACATTTAGGTGTCTACAAGCCCCATATAATACACGGAGAGCAAAAGATGAGAACTTTTGTGAATGGGCCAAACAGAAAGAACAAAACAAAACAAACAAACGAACAGAATAACAGAGTTGGAAGGGACCTTAGAGGTCTTCTAGTCCAACCTCCTGCTTAGGCAGGAAACCTTATTTTTGTCCCTGGGTTTTTGTTTTTGTTTTTGTTTTTTTTTTGCTTGTGTCTATATGTGTGTAATGCGTGTGTGTGTTTCCTAATCCCTTTCACAATGCTTTAAGGGCCACACTACAATTTTCTATGTTTTCTAACTAACATGTTGGGAAATTGTGCTACTCATTCTTAGCCATTTCACTAAGGACTATGAAAACAGATGTTTGGAGTCTCCAGATGGCTCTGAGATCTACTGGATATTTCCAGTAAGTCATAGTTCTCAGAGGCAAATTATTTTATTCTTCTTCAAAGTTACTTTTCAACAAAACATTTAGTCATATGCCTCATTATTCACTGATCAGCAGCAAACTACCTTCGCTCTGTACATACACAAATTTGTCCCAATGCTCAACATTTATTTTTATTTATTTATTTATTTCCAATTTATATACCGCCCTTCTCCCTGAGGACTCAGGGCGGTGTACAGCCAGAATTAAGAACATGAAATACAAATATTAAAAAACAATTAATATATATTTAAATTTGGCCCAAAAATTAAAAATCACAAACCAATTAAAACATTTAAAAATTTCTTCTTAAGCCAGCCCGGCTTGCTGGAAAAAGTGGGTTTTAAGGGCACGGCGGAAGGCACTGAGGTCTTGGATTCTCCTTATCTCTGGGGGCAACTGATTCCAGAGGATAGGTGCCCCCACAGAGAAGGCCCTCCCGCTGGGGGTCACCAGCCTACATTGTTTGGCTGATGGCACCCTGAGGAGGCCCTCTCTGTGGGAGCGCACGGGTCGATGGGAGGTTGTCGGTAGCAGCAGGCAGTCTCGAAGATAGCTAGGCCCTATGCCATGGAGCGCTTTAAAGGTGATGAACAACACCTTGAAGCGCACCCGGAAGACCACCGGAAGCCAGTGCAGCTCGCGCAGGAGCGGTGTTACATGGGAGCGCCATGCTGCTCCCGTCACTACCCGCGCTGCTGCGTTCTGGACCAGTTGGAGCCTCCGGGTGCTCTTCAAGGGGAGCCCCATGTAGAGAGCGTTGCAGAAGTCAAGTCAACATCTAGTTGAGATATTAGAATATATATTAAAATTCTATATTTAATTATGTTGATAAATGAACTTATTCATACTGCATTGAATTGTGAAAAAGTAATATCTAGTTGGTCCGTGTGTGTGTATGTGTGTGTGTGTGGGAGGGAGGGAGGGAGGGAGAGGAGGAGAGTGTGAGAGAGAGAGAGAATGAGAGAGAGAATGAGAGAGAAAGAGAATTCCGATTCATGGCCATTTCCTTGATTAATTCACTCTCATTAAATTTAGTACTCATTGGAGTTCCTGTTAAGAGATAGCACAATGCCATTAGCTAATTATGAAACACAAGTCAGGAAGTTCTGACACATTACATTAAGGGTAGGCAGCTTGGTTCAGAAAATAAAGGCAGAAAATGCAGCACTATCAAGATAATGTCCTGCAGCAATCAAATAATAAGTCTGTCACACATTTCCAAAGATAATCCTGTGTTCTTTTTCTTTTCTAAGCAAATTATATTCCACCTTATAGAGAAGATAAAATATTGTCTGTAAGTCTGCATGTTGCAAAAATGAGTCACAGCCAATAGTATAGGGCAGGGGTCAGCAACCCGCGGCTCTGGAGCCACATGTGGCTCTTTCATTTCTCTGCTGCAGCTCCCTGTTGCTGCCACAATTTTGAGAGGAGCTTCCAGTTGGGGGGAAAAGCTCGGTGCACCAAGAGGAGACTCTATGGCAAGGGGTGGGTTTTCTGGTCAGCTCCACAATTGATAGGGCTTTTGGTTAGGACAGGTAGAGGAAAAAGGACACCGTGCTAGGAGGAGACTCTATGGTGTGGGAACCGGACTTCCAGTTGGTTCCAGAATTGAACAAGGGGAGGGGGTCTTCCAGTTAGGATCTTTGTGGCTCTTTGAGTGTTTAAGGTTGCCGACCTGGTTCCCGACCTGGTTTATTCCCCTGGTTAGGGGAATAAACCAATATGCTGTCAGAGCTTTGGATGGTTTCAGTTCAGAGCAACTAAAGAGCAGTTGCTTCCTATACAAGCCTGCCTGCTTTTAAAGACCCAATTTGGAGGTTCTTCTGTGGTTGAGGTAGGAGTGGTTAGATACTTGTGAGGACATTAAAGGGGACAGGACTGATTTTATTGATACCATTACATGCCTACTCTGATCAACCTCTTCTAGTCAAGACATGTCCTTGTAACCATTTTTTAATATTATGCCTTCATCCACAGGCCATTGGTTTAAGTATTTTATTAATTTATCAAAATCTGAAATACAGAAATATAAAGAAAAATGAAAATAAAGGGACAACAGGAAAGGAAAAGGGGAACAGGAAAAATTATATGATAATGGGGAAAAGAAAAAGAAAAGCATTGACTTCTGACTCCTTTTCATGCAGTAGAATAAGGTAATAATATACAATCTCAGCTTTTTATTTTTACATAATAATATATACTAGCCATTTCTATAACAACAAACCTATCTAGTCAGCAAAAATCATTTTTTTCCCACCTTAAGCACCAAACCCAAAAGCGGTTTTCAAGTAGAAACAAAATTAATTGCATTCTTTTCTTTAATCAAAGCAGTCAGTTTAGTAATCTCTATGAACTCCATCAACTTTTGCAGGCATTCGTCCATTGTGGGAATCAAAATATCCTTCCATTTTTGCGCATAAAATATACTTGCTGCATCCATAGGCCATTGCTGAGACAGCGTAAAATTGTCTTTAGCTGTAATTTGAAAGAAGTGTTTTCCTCTTCTTCTGACACAATTTTGGCTATGGACATGATCTAGTACATTTTACTGATGATGTGGTTAAGACTTGCCAGGTATTGCATTGGCTTCTTATATACACTCGGCTAGGACTCTTTTGAATAAATTCTAGGCCACGCCTGTACTTTAACTGGAGGACTTGTGTATTCTTCAGAAAATTCTGGGTCAATAGAATAGGTTAATAGTTGGAAAGGACCTTGGAGGTCTCCTAGTCCAACCTCCTGCTTAGGCAGGAAACCCTACACCACTTCAGATAAATGGTTATCCAACATCTTCTTAAAAACTTCCATTGTTGGAGCATTCACAACTTCTGGCAAGTCATTCCACTGATTAATTGTTCTAACTGTCAGGAAATTTCTCCTTAGTTCTAAGGTGCTTCTCTCCTTGATTAGTTTCCACCCATTGCTTCTTGTCCTACCATCAGATGCTTTGGAGAAGTTTGACACCCTCTTCTTTGTGGCAACTCCTGAGATATCGGAACACTGCTATCATGTCTCCCCTAGTCCTTCTTTTCATTAAACTAGACATACCCAGTTCCTGCAACCGTTCTTCATATGTTTTAGCCTCCAGTCCCCTAATCATCTTTGTTGCTCTTCTCTGCACTCTTTTTAGAGTCTCAACATCTTTTTTTATATCATGGTGACCAAAACTGAATGCAGTATTCCAAGTGTGGCCTTACTAAGGCATTATAAAGTGGTATTAACACTTCGCGTGATTTTGATTCTATCCCTCTGTTTATGCAGCCTAGAACTGTGTTGGCTTTTTTGACAGCTGCTGCACATTGCTGGCTCATGTTTAAGTGGTTGTCCACTACGACTCCAAGATCCCTCTCACAGTTACTGCTATTGAGCAAGGTACGACATATACGGTACCTGTGCATTTTGTTTTTCTTGCCTACGTGTAGAACCTTACTTTTTTCACCATTGAATTTCATTTTGTTAGATAGCGTCCAATGTTCAAGTCTGCCAAGATCTTTCTGTATCTTGAGCCTATCTTCTGGAGTGTTGGTGCCCAAAGCACCAACTTAAACCGGAAAAGAGGGCTGCATTTTGCCTTGTGTGCATCAGTGGTGGGTTTCAAATTTTTTTACCACTGGTTCTGTGGGTGTGGCTTGGTGGGCATGGCAGGGGAAGGTTACTGCAAAATCCCCATTTCCTCCCAATCAGCTGGGACTTGGGAGGCCGAGAATAGATGGGGGTGGGGCCAGTCAGAATTTTTACTACCGGTTCTCTGAACTAGTCAAAATTTCCGCTACCGGTTCTCCAGAACTGGTCAGAACCTGCTGAAACCCACCTCTGGTGTGCATTATTGGTTCCCTCACTGAAGAGTATGCTATACATTTTCATTGCTTTAACTAATGAAAAGTTGTGCTGGCTTTTATGGCTTTTATTATAATTATGAAGACTGGAAGTGCCATTTTGTAGACTTTTACACAATTTTGCATACTATATGGGCTACCTCTGAATGCTAAAGCACACTGCCCTGCCATTGTGAGAGTGATCAGGGATAAGGCTGGCTCTTTATGGATGGCTTCCTCCCATTTCATGCCTTTCTTGTATGCTGACAACTGGGCTATTTTTGGACATTGGTTTAATGCTCTTTCAGAAGAATATTAGACCCATCATAGTCAGATGCTACACTTTCAGTGTAGGGAAAGTGGACATTTACCCTACTTGCTGATGGACAGGAGAAGGAATACTAACTACCAGGAGGCAATAATGACCAGTTTTATCGTTATTGGGACTCCTCAAAATGTCTATTACCATGTCTCATTCCATGAGCTTCTCATGGACCATTGTGCTTTACATGACTAGATACAGGGCATGAGGTTTAAGGGATATCCAGGCCCTGATGTTCAGTGGTACTGAAGGAAGAGATGCATAGAATCTATCATAATGATATATACAATCTATCTTCCCTGAAGCACATAAAGATGCTATATTATGTTATGCATCTGTATATGATACTTTACAGTACATGATATCAAACCTGACCCTTGGAGGGAGGAAAAAAATGTCTTTTAAGGATAGATACTAAAGCTAGTTCCCAGGGTATAGCTATCTAAAGGGCAATGGTCCATGAATTAAACATCTCTGTATGAAAATAATTTATATAGCCCCCTTTTTCAAGAGATATCAAGCCATACAGACTCTTCTTTTACAGATAAAGGCCTGTGAACCATCTGCACTTAGTTTTTTAAGATCTAACTGCAATATCACTCAGTTGGTAGAAGACTCAGAGGTACCCTGTTTCTCCTAAAACAAGACATCCCCTGATAATAAGCCCAATTGGGCTTTTGAGTGCATGTGCTAAAATAAGCCCCCCCTCCCGAAAATAAGCCCTCCCCAAAAATATTTAAACTCATGCGCAGCTGGTCCCCACCATTTCCTCTGGTTATGGTTAGGGAGACAGAGCTGGAAATCAGGTAAGACAGCAAGAGGAGCCCTATCTTGCTCCATGCACCCCAAAATAATAAGACATCCCTGAAAATAAGGCCATGCACTTATTTCGGGGTTCAAAAAATATAAGACAAGGTCTTATTTTCGGGGAAACACAGTATCTTCTGTTGCTTAACAAACCAACCAATGCCATTAGTCTAATAATCACTGATGAAATTACTCTGTGCTACAATCCAATGGTAAAATCCAGTTCAAAACATGAAGTTATTAGCAGTAAAAGGACAAGTAAGAGATAAACTTCCCATAGGTCAAATCAAGCGGACACTATAGTGCTTAAGTTGTAAACACAAAGTGTATTCTTGATTCTACAATTATGAAGAAGACCTCACATATCAAATCACAATTAAGTGGTGCTATTTCAGATAGTTTATCCATCATGGTTTCAAATATAACATGTTGGAATGCTCAAACTGTTGATAAGAATTTCTTAAACTTATTAAAATCGCATGGCATATTGTGTCTGCAAGAAACTAGGGTCCCAGAAAGCCAGATGGATGTAATTTATTTAGCAGAAATTAGATTAAGGGTTATTACAACATGGGAACCACGTTCTATGGAATATTCTTTTAGGCTATTTTGTTAACAGAAAGTGGAATCTGGAGGCATCTAAAAAAATGGACTACTCTCTCCTCTGCAGATAATGAGATTCATGATAATAAATGAGCTTACCCTAATAACTCTAAATGTCTATAAGCCTTCCAGAAGTGCCAAGTGTCTGTATGTCTCCTAGAAGTGCCAAATTTCAAAATTATTACTGGTGGGTTACCCAGGGAAATACAATAGATATATTAGAAGATAAATTTATAAATTTAGCAGATACTTTTTAGCCAATACTATTATATTAATATTTAATATAATGTATAAAAGAGCAAAATGGTTAAAATTATCTTCCTTTTTAACCAGAAGGATTCTATAGTAAACCAGCAGAATATAAATTCTTGAATTTACTTTATATATGGAACTATCTGTTACATGTATAAATAGCAAGTGAAGCCAGGGATGTAGGCTTCACTCAGGTCCGGGTTTAGCTGGACATTTGCATGCCCACCACTGATTGGTGGATTCAAACGGGGCCCGCCACTGATTGGTGGATTCAAACGGAGAGAAATGTAAAGCATTGTCAGTGGCTGAATCAGTGGGACTGCTCCCTTTAAAAGGGAGTGCTGCCGGCTAAGCCTTTGCAGAAATCACTCACTTAAATAAAGAGCTGAAGTTACTGTCTGTCCTCCTGCCTCTTTGCCTCCCACGATCTAACACTATCAAATCCTGACTGGTTCCCATTTCAGGGATTTCCCCAAGCAATTATACCTACTTATAAAATAGTAAAGAAGTATAATCAATTATGTATGTATCCCCTCTGCCAGGACAGGAAAATTTTAGGAGGTGGAGGTGATTTTAAGGATTTGGAGTAATCTACAAGCTATCTTTTTCCAATATTAGGCTAGGAGTCAGTAAGAAGTTGAAAGTTTACAGTGAGAAAATCACTGCAATTTTACTTTCAAGTCATCTGCACATATTCTAAATGGCTCTTGTTGCTTTCATCTGGCAATCACTTTGATTGGTATCAATGGTGGGATTCAACCGGATCGCACCACTTCGGCCGAACTGGTTGTTAAATTACTGGCTGGCCCCTCCCCTCCCTGCCTCTTCTAGAAGTCCCCATGTGTCCTGTTTTGGCTCCCAGGTAAGTGCAGAGAGGCCTACTAGGCCCAAAACGGGGCATGGGGGTATGTGGCGTGGCCCCCCATGACCTGTTTTTGCTCCCAGGGGGATGCAGGGAGGCCTACTAGGCCCAAAACAGGGTATGGGGGTGGGTGCAGCGTGGCCCCCCCATTTTTGCTCCCAGGAGGCTGCAGGGAGGCCTACTAGGCCGAGTGCTGGCTGTCACACTCCCCTGGCCATGCCCACAATGGCCACGCCCACCAAGCAGCTCATTTGGTCAGAGAACTGGTTGTTAAATTATTTGAATCCCACCACTGGTTGGTATGCATTGAAATTGTTGTCCACTAGATGATGATGATGATGATGATGATGATGATGATGCTAACAGTTTACATCCTGTGATAATACCATTAATATTATTAAACAACATCCGCCTATCACAGATCCTTGGTAGGTAAATAAAAATGCCAAATCCAGTCTAAACATCTGGTTGACTGTGTTACCAACCATAATGATAATTTATATGCTACCTGATTCCCAGCATATAAACTTTTTTTTGCCTTCAGTCTGCTTTTCCCGTCTAAGCAAATGCAGCAGCTGGTTACTAACTTTGATTTTTAGACAGAAGGACTTCTGTGTCTGCAAACCTCAAGGTGGCTATCCTGCCTGCCTTGTCTATATTTATATCCCAGGACTGTGCAATAATTTGCCTTGGTGAAACCAATCAATAACGAATCATTGTGTGGATAGTTGTGCTTTTAACTGTTGCATGCTATATTCCCACCTTATCCAACCTGGTTCTCTCCAGATGTGACGGGACTGCAAATTCCCAGAGTTCTCTTCCAGCATGTACATTAATCATATTGGCTTTGAATTCTGGCAGGTTCTAATATGGCTGAACATACCAGGCGGATTATACATAATAAGAGAAATGAATCCTGTATTGCCATTAAACTATATTTATATTACTTTAAAAAATAGCAAAATCGACAAAAGGATTTAATTCTGTACCTGGTTTCCTGACAGCATTCAACAGCTTCTCATTACCAGCATGAGTCCTAGTCACCTTTTGCTGAAAGACTGTAACAAAAAAAGCAAATTAAGAAGTTACTAGTAGCAGCAGGAAAACAAGAAAGCTGATTACCCATCACAATTCTAGCATCTTGATAGAACACCTAAGACTTAAAAACAGAGTATAAAAAGAAAGCCCACGGTGCAAATTGGTTTTATTTTTTAGAACTTTCTACAACTTTGTCCAGTTGAATTCCCTTTACACAATAGGGCTTTGGTTTCTACCCTTCCATGTAGACATTGGCCACAATGGGGGACACAGGTCAACCCATGGTGCTGCTGTGTTTTTGTCTGTAGAAACAGCTTCACTGTATTTAAAATAAGTAGTGGTCAGGCAGAGGTCCAGCATGGCACATATGTGGTCTGGGATTAGGTTGGTTTTGTCACCTAAGGTGCTGTCTTGTAGCAGTCATTTAGAATAGAATAACAGAGTTGGAAGGGTCCTTGGAGATCATCTAGTCCAACCCCCTGCTTAGGCAGGAAACCCTACACCACTTCAGACAAATGGTTATCCAACATCTTCTTAAAAACTTCCAGTGTTGGAGCATTCACAACTTCTGGAGGCAAGTTGTTCCACTGATTAATTGTTCTAACTGCCAGGAAATTTCTCCTTAGTTCTAAGTTGCTTCTCTCCTTGATTAGTTTCAACCCATTGCGTCTTGTCCTGCCCTCAGGTGCTTTGGAGAATAGCTTGACTCCCTCTTCTTTGTGGCAGCCCCTGAGATATTGGAACACTGCTATCATGTCTCCCCTAGGCCTTCTTTTCATTAAACAAGACATACCCAATTCCTGCAACCGTTTTTCATATGTTTTAGCCCCCAGTCCCCTAATCATCTTCGTTGCTCTTCTCTGCACTCTTTCTAGAGTCTCCACATCATTTGTTCACTACTGTGACAGCTTCAGTTATTGGAATGCAGGTCAAGAGGGAAGTCACATCAAAGGAAACCATGGTGTCATCTGCGTCAGTTTAGTTTCCAAACCTTGTTGGTGAAGTCCTGTGAATTGTTGATGTGATGGGTGGTGTTGCCAACTAGAGGAGCTAATAAATTGATTTAAGTACAAATGACCAGCTGTCTGCAAGGAGTATAAATCTTTCCATTCTCCACCATCCAGTCAGAGCTGAAAAAGCTTCTTGGATGAGAAGCGAAACATCTTCAAAGAAAAACAAGAAAGTCCAGTTGCTTCTTGAAAAAAGCATATTTGGGGCATCCAGTGTTTAGTTATTCAAATATTATTTTTAAATGGCTATACTTATTTCTTACTGTGTAGTTATTATAATTTTATTTTTGTTTTATAAATATATTTCCCTGATTAAACCTGGAATTGCACACACATGGAAGCAAGGTTCTGTAACGTGCATCCTTTGCTATATGATGTAGCTTCAAATGAAAATAGGAGGGTCTCTTGACTTAATTGCCATTATTGTATTAAGCTCATGAAATCAGGAAAAGAAAGAAAATACTCCCACTGTCACAAAGGTGCTTTTTTCAAGAGGCAATTGGACTTTCTTTTTTCTTTGAAGACGTTTCACTTCTCATCCAAGAAGCTTCTTCAGCTCTGACTCGATGGTGGAGAAATGGAAGGATTTATGTTCCTTGCAGACAGCTGGTCATTTGCATTCTTTTAGACACTTGTTGAGGCCACTTAGATTTTTCTGTGTATACCGGAGTATACACAGATGCACCTGAGTAGTGCAAATGGGTGTGGAACTTTCTCAGAACTGCTGGAAGGACCATATTGTAGACTGGAGATGTTGTAGATAATGTTGTATCCCCCCCGCACTCTTGAGAAAGGGCTGTTCAATTTTGACATAGATGGCCTCTTTGACCCCTCTTTAAAACCAACAGTCCTCTCTGTCCAAAATGTGGACTTTGCGGTCTTCCAAAAAGTGGCTACTGCACCACTTCCACTGCTAAAAGAGATTTGAGGAGTGACTGTTTTGAGGGAATGTAATAACTATAGGAATAACTATTTTTAAGTGGACAACTTAATATTTTTAAGTTTGTTATTTGTTCTTCTGCATTGCCTCAATATTTCTCAAATACAAGATTGACTTATGACTACCAAAAGAGAAAGAACAACATGAATAAGTTCAATTATCCACATCATTTCAATATTCCACAAATTCCTAGAGTTATGTGATATCACTATAAGCAGTGGTGAAATTCAGTTCTATCCAGATCGCATGATCCGATAGTGGTGGCGGCTACCCACTTGGATGTCATCATGACCCTCTGCACATGCGCAGAGGTTCTGCACATGCGTGGAGGAGATGTGCAGGCTCACATTTGCAAACTGGTAGCTAAGATAAGTGAATTCCACCCCTGACTATAAGGCAAGATAAGAACTTTCCCAAAATATATTGGGGAAACCATTTGGATCTACCAAATATCAAGGAAGAATAACTTTACTTAGTAGTGCTCAATGCTTTGAGATTTGTCTCTCCAGTTTCTGGCTAATTGGAGTGTAGTCTGTTCATGATTTTAAAAAATCCTATATAATTCCTCTAATTTAGATTGAAATATTAAATTCAACGGAATGAAATATTAAATTCAACGGAAGAATAACCTGCTGCATATGTAGACCTAAAAATTGGTCACCATAGCAGACATGAACAGTTGACCTACAAGTACCGTGACTTTAAGACTAAATCTTTTTGAAGTATTAATACCATTTTATGATGCTTTGATAAGGCCACACTTGGAATATTGCATTCAGTTATATTTGCCACAATATAAAATAGATGTTGAGACTCTAGAAAGAGTGCAGAGAAAAGCAACAAAGATGATTAGGGGACTGGAGGCTAAATCATATGAGGAACGGTTGCAGGAATTGGGTATGTCTAGTTTAATGAAAAGATAGACTAGGACAGCAGTGGTGAGCCTATGGTACGAGTGCCAGACGTGGCATGCAAAGCTCTCTCTGTGGGCATGCACCCTGTCTCCCCAGCTCTGTTTTGGGTCTCTGCGGTGCATGCGCGCTGGTCTCCCACCGGTCAGCTGGTCTTCGGGTCTGTGCTGCGCATGTGCGGGCTCGTGCATGCACGGGCTGGGCGCCCATGCGCCCACGCCTTGCAGTTTGGGCGCACACGCACACTTTGGGCCCTCGGTGCCTAAAGGTTCGCCATCACTGGACTAGGAGTGACATGATGGCAGTGTTCCAATATCTAAGGAGTTGCCATAAAGAGGGAGTCAACCTATTCTCCAAAGCACCTGAAGGCAGGACAAGCAGCAATGGATTGAAACTAATCAAGGAGACATCCCACCTAGAATTAAGGATAAATTTTTCAATTAGAAGAGTTAATCAGTGGAATGATCTGCCTCTACAAATTGTGAGTGCTTCAAAACTGGAGGTTTTAAAGAAGAGATTGGACAACTGTTTGTCTGAAAGGTTACAGGATTTCCTGCCTGAGCAGGGGGTTGGACTAGAGGATCTCTAATGTCCCTTCTAACTCTATTGTTCTGTTATTCTGTACAATAACTTGGTCATAAGCTCAGTGACCACATCAAGTCCATTTCTGAGGAAGTGAGTATGTATGTGACTTTGAATTGTAGATCACATGCCTATTGGAAAATGGGCTGGAACAGACATATAATTATAAGCATGAACTTCAGATGGCAGATTTTTCACACTATCAGCTATATCCAGGATGCCAATGAGTCACCCAAAACAGACACTGAAGCATCTCCCTCAGGCCTGAAACAGCTCTGAAAAGTCATAGCTAAGCTGTAAGCAAAATTGCACCTGTTTGTAGTTAAATGATACTAACTTTAGCTTCTAAGGATGATATGCCTGAGCCAATACGCAGCAACCTTTTGCAATGCATAAGGAAACAATATGCTTTCCCAAATATTTCCCTGACACCATAAAATTGGACTCAATATTGTAATGGTTTAATGCAGGGGCCTCCAACCTTGGCAACTTTAAGCCTGGAGGACTTCAACTCCCAGAATTGAAGCAAAGCTGGCTGGGGAATTCTGGGAACTAATGAATAATAAAAATTAAAAAAAAAATCCCAAGATCTTAAAAATGGAAAGGCGATAGATTGAACATGCATTGTAGTGGATGTAGAGCTGATTGGACCTTGATAAGATATTGCTATATCATACAATATAGGTCATCCTTGACTTACAACCATTCACTTAGTGACCATTCAAAGTTACAATGGCATTGAAAAAAGTGACTTATGACCGTTTTCCACACTTACGACCATTGCAGCATCCCCATGATCACATGATCAAAATTCATAAGCTTGGCAACTGGCTTATATTTATGACGGTTGCAGTGTCCTATGATCCTCCTTTTTGTGACCTTCTGAACAAGCAAAATCATTGGGAGAGCCAGATTTATTTAACAACTGGGTTACTAATTTAACAACTGCAATGTTTCACTTAACATCTGTGGCAAGAAAGGTCGTAAAATGGGGCAAAACTCACTTAATAAATGTGTCACTTAAATAACATAAATTTTGGGCTCAATAATTGTGTCGTAAGTCAAGGACTAATTGTATTTATCCTATAAAGATTATAGATAATAGCAAAAAGGGTAATGATATAGAGTCTATAGAAGGAACAGTTGTGGACTGTTCAATCTGGTGGACTGAAATAAAATAGGAATAAACCCTCTCTCTCCAAAATGGGTGTTTGTGCAGGTGTTAGTTGCATTTTTTCCCTTTCCTGAACTGGTCTTTAAATCTCCATGTGTTCTGCAAGTTAAATATGAGAAATAAGTCAGAGGATTGTCATCTTTCCTTCTTTCAACCCACAGATGAACAGTAGTTTCCTTACTAAAAAAAGAGAAAATGGTGGAATCACAGATTATCTCTAGGTGTTTATGCTCCAAGCAATTTTTTTTTCTTTTTCTCTAAAGAATTTTAGATTTTTAAGCAAGGTGGGAGTCCTCAACATTTTTTTCTCGGAAGCTCGTATTAGGCCCATGGGAAATCATGATAGATAAATGGGCATAATTATCCTCAAACATACATATAGCAATAGCACTTAGACTTATATACCACTTCACAGTGCTTTTACAGCTCTCTTGAAGCGGTTTACAGAGTCAGCATATTGACCCCAACATTCTGGGTCCTTATATAAATAAAGCTAACAGTATAACAGTCAAATCAAGGAATTATCAAACCAATATGCTGTCAGAGCTCTGGATGGCTTAAGTTTAGAGCAACTAAAGAGCAGTTGCTTCCTATACAAGCCTGCCTGCTTTTAAAGACCCAGTTTGGAGGTTCTTCTATGGCTAGTATATAAAATGAGAGCAAACCCCATTCCCTATTTGTATTGATGATGTTATCTAGTTTGGTAATGAAACATCTGCAAAAACCAAGGTCAGAAAGCACAAAGTACTCCACTTACTGTATAAATTAGCCTGATTCAATTTGCTTGTTTGCTCTCTGTGTTAATTGTTTTTCCATTCTAACTGGTTCAAGGGTTGGATTGCTAGTAAAGTTTATATACTTTGCATTTGTTCTAATATGTTTGATTCTCACTGTTGGCAACTTCCTTTAGCACAGGATTTAGAAAAACCTCATGGTCACTTGACTTAATGATCCAAAGATTGCTTCTACTATTTCTTACTATAAGCTTCACAATGTAGAGAGCTGGGATTCCCCTCTTCCATTTAAAGTAGGGAGGGAGAAGGTGATACAATCCAGATGTTTTGAATTACAATTCCTAGTTTTCCTTGCCATTGGTTACTTTAATGAGCCACGGTGGCGCAGTGGTTAGAGTACAGTACTGCAGGCTACTTCTGCTGACTGCCGGCTGTCTGCAATTTGGCAGTTCAATTCTCACCAAGCTCAAGGTTGACTCAGCCTTCTATCCTTCCGAGATGGGTAAAATGAGGACCCAGATTGTTGGGGGCAATATGCTGACTCTGTAAACCACTTAGAGAGGTAAGTGGTTTACAGTGCTGTAAAGTATTGTAAAGCGGTATATAAGTCTAAGTGCTATTGCTATTAGCATGAATTACTAAGAACTGAAGTTCAAAACATCTGGAGGGCACTGATTTGCCTACTTGTGGTGTAAATTTTGCTAGGTGTGGAAACCTTCTCTATACCTGTGAAACTGGATTTGATTTCTGTGCTTGGTAATAGGCAGGTTTTCTGCATACCTATATGACTTCCATTTTGTCTGCAAGAACATCTGGCTGTCTTGCGTCTGTGAGGTGCTCCTAGAAGCAAATTGCTGAATGTGGGCTGAAGTGTTTGGAAAGTCAAGATTTATTACTCTGCTTGAAATGAAGTCTGACAGATGGTCAGAAATAAACAAGTGGAAGTTTATTTCCAGCAAAAGTTCATCAAAACGTTTGAACACCGAATGCCAATGAGCGTTACCTTGAGCTATGTAAGAAGTGCCCTCCTCTTTCACAGCAGCAGACAAAGGACGTGGGGCAGGGGCAGGTGGCCGATTCATAATAAAGGATCTACCGTCTTTCCTTTGCTCTTGAAGCTTGTTCTCCATAATGGCATCATATACACCATCATTTACTTCAGCAGAAGTGTATGGATCTTCCTCATCTATTTCATCACAACAATCATTTATCTTAGGCTCCTCCTCTGTCCCCTTATTTTCCACTTGGCCTTCCACTTTTTTCAAGGCTGAAACCAACAGAATGACACTAACGTTATTAAACACATTGTCTGAATGAAAGTTCTGACATAAATCCACTCATGTGGATCTTTGTAATGACATGTAATCCTCATTTATTGACTACGTTGTTTAGTGAACAGTTTGCAGTTACAACAAACAATGAAAAAATAACTTTTTGACCAATCCTCACGTTTACAACCTTCACAGGTCTATAAAGCAAAGGAAAGGTGACATAAAATCATTTAACAACCACTTTGCCTAACAAATGGGTTGCTAATCCCAACTGCTAAATAAGAATGATTGGTATGCATGCAGTTCATGTCTATGTATTATCTATCTATCTATCTATCTATCTATCTATCTATCTATCTATCTATCTATTATCTATCTATCTGTCTGTCTGTCTGTCTGTCTGTCTGTCTATCATCTATCCATCCATCATCCATCCATCCATCATCTCTCTCTCTCCATCCATCTTCCCCATCATCTATCTATCTATCTATCTATCTATCTATCTATCTATCTATCTATCATCTATCCATCTATCCATCCATCCATCATCTCTCTCTCTCTCCATCCATCTTCCATTCATCATCTATCTATCTATTTATCTATCTATCTATCCATCCATCCATCCATCCATCCATCCATCCATCCATCATCCATCCATCCATCCATCATCTCTCTCTCTCTCCATCCATCATCTATCATCTATCTATCTATCTATCTATCTATCTATCTATCTATCTATCATCTATCTATCTATCTATCTATCTATCTATCTATCTATCTATCTCTTCTATGTCATAGAAAGATCCATAGCTAGCTTTGTAAATTCCTCATGTCAGAAATCATTTTCTTTAAGCTGCAACATCTGAGTTTCTACTGGAGTCCAAATGGGAATTATAAACTATGTTCTGAACATTTAAGGAATAATATAGAAAGCTCATTATTCTTCATCATTTTAATGGAAGTTTCAAAAGATCTACCCAGGAAGTAAAAGTCATAAAAAGAGTCAGTGGATGAGCAAGAGGTAGAGATTCTGCTGGCATGATATTAGATCCTCAAGAATAAAATGAAAGCAGGCATATTGTTCTGTTTGATTACTCCCTTTGGCCAACAGTCCCTGTTTGTTAACTACCTTTGGAGCTCCCTGAGGCTCATAGCTAGGCATGTTAGAGGTGGCAGAAGAAAAGGCTGAAATTCCTTTGTTATTCATGCTCTAAAGGTAAAGGTAAAGGTTCCCCTCGCACATATGTGCTAGTCATTCCTGACTCTAGGTGGCAGTGCTCATCTCTGTTTCAAAGCCGAAGAGCCAGTGTTGTCCGAAGAAGTGTCAGTGGTCATGTGACCAGAATGACTAAACGCCAAAGGCGCATGGAACACTGTTACCTTCCTACCAAAGGTGGTCCCTATTTTTCTACTTGCATTTTTTACGTGTTTTTGAACTGCTAGGTTGGCAGAAGCTGGGACAAGTAAGGGAAGCTCACCCCGTTACGCGGCACTAGGGATTCAAACCATTAAACTGCCGACCTTTTGATCGACAAGCTCAGTGTCTTAGCCACTGAGCCACCGCATCCCTCTTCATGCTCTACTAACACTGATAACTTGATCTCCGAACTCTTCTAGTGGGACTCACACCACTATTTCCTTCCCCTCCCCCCCGAAAGAGCAAGGGATTAATCCAGTTGATATTTCAGCTATTTTACAGAGCCTATTTGCAAACTGGTCTCCCCAAAAAGAAAGATGACTAATTACTTTCCCAAAGATGAAAGTTTCTAAAATGTTAAGTTTTACCAACTACCTTGATGTTTCATGGAAACTCTGCATAATTAGACTATTTTATTCAGAAGGAATTCAGAGGGATTTGCTTTCATCTTCGGGATGTAACTGCTTCAAGTTGTTTCATGACACCACAAATTTGTTGAAGCACAATGCAGCCATGTGCAAATCTGATATTATAGCAAACCATGGCAGTTTCTTTCCAATAGACTTTTAATTCCATCTTCCATCAGTGCAGACAAATTTATAGAAATAGTCAGGATTCTTTTAAGACTCTGAGAGAGGATTTGCTCTAGAGAGACCAAAGGGAGTCAGTTTGGTCTAGTAGTTAAGGCACCAGGCTTGAAAACAGGAGACCATGAGTTCAAAACCTGCCTTAGCCCTGAAAGCTGATTGGGTGACTTTATGCCAGTCACTCTCTTTTAGCCCAATCCACCTCACAGGGTTGTGAAAAATGTTTGCTTAATGATGGTGGCCTTCCTATGACTGCTGCAAAAAATGAGTAACAAAATTGGGCATAGTTACAGGGTGACCCGTTTAATGTCTATCATGTCATGCTTTTCCTCGATGCTTCGGTTCCCAGCATCACTATACATTGTGCATCAGTGCAATTCTTGTGAATATTTGAATGAATTCCTATAAATACAACAGCTAGCTATTTCCTATTCCAATGCAAGAGCATTCCCTTCAGCATCCTATAGGACATGGATGTCAAACTCGATTTCATTGAGGGCCGCATCAGGGTTGTGTTTGACCTCGGGGGTGGTGGTGAGTGGGCATAGCCAGGGTGGGCATGGCCAGCTCAACATCACTTGTGTCAGGGGCCTTTGTGGTGGCTTGAGAGCTTGTGGCCCTCCCAAGCTCAGTTTTCGCTGGTAGAGGGTTGCAGGAGGCCGTCACAGCCGAAAACAGAGCTCGGGAGGGCTGCATGCGGTGCTCCCGAGCTCCATTTTTGCTGGCAGAGGCACAGTGGGCTGGTCCTTTGCTGTTTCCAGGGCAACCCCTGGCCAGACCTAAGCACCCTGTAGGCCGGATCCAACCCCCGGACCTTCAGTTTGACACCCCTGCTATAGGACCTATCAATAAGTGTAATGGAGATAGGACAATGAATGGTACCGAATCAAACTCCAGAACACAAACACAGAATTGTTTAGGAATAATTAGGAAGCTGCATGGAATATGGTCTTCTTCCCGGCCTGCTAATTAATTTATTAGTTTGCTGGATCAGACTCTATGCAGCAGAGAATGAGGGAATACATATGGTTTTGATCTGATGTAGCCAGGATCTTGAATATTTTTCAAATTTTGCTATAAATCTTTTGTGTTATTCCGTGAGTCTATACCTGAATACAAGTAGAAAAATTCATTTTGTTTACTGGCAAGAAATTGATTTCGGGGTGGCAAGGGTGGTCCCTCAGAGAAACTGATGTTTTCACTCTTTACTTCTGGGACATCTCGAAGTATATTACTATACAAGCTATTTCTCAAGTGACATGCATTTTCTTCTAATTTATTTCCTTCTTCTTTTTCTACCATTCCTTCCTCATTATATTCTTCCAGTTCTGCATCAGCATTCATCCCTTTCTTCTTCTGGATTTCCAAACAGGCTCCAGGTGGTTCTTCTATGCTTGGGCTGCCTGTTAATGTTGGGAGAATACATTATTCTTTCATTTAAAATAACCATCTGGAAGCATTTTACATTTTCTTACAGATTTCTACAGAGAAACAGCCACAATGCTAATTAAACTTTCATGAATGAGTATAGTATAGTGGAAAGCTGTCACATCTATAACTTCAGTGAAGAAACATCTAAAATATTTATCAACGAATAGAAAAGGCTCTCATTAGTTTGTAATATTTCTAAACAACATAGACAAACATGTGACATTAAAGGACTCTGGAAATGCAACATTCTACCTCCTCCCTAACTTGTTCAATTTTGGATGCACAGTAGGACAAATGCAAGAGTATGGTAAGCTATAAGTTATGCAGCTGTGTCTGTTTATTTTTAACAGACTAGGTTGCCAACCTATCAATTTACTGTCTTTAACAGGGATCAATTTTGCCATTGGGAGAAAAATGTGAATTATTGAGAATTCTGGACTTTATGGACTGCATCACGGATTATTCAAATGCAAGAAGAAAAACATAAACTGAATGAGCTTAGTTAGGTATGGTGTCTTCCACAATCTTGAAGTCACTTAGGCTTTTCCTGAAATTTAAAACATTTGGAATGTCTATTAATACTGTGGAAAAATGGCTACCATATATACTCAACTTGACTCTATCTCTGGGAAAGTAATATATATATAAATTGTATTGATGTATACATTCAACAATATTATAGAAGAATTAAACTTTAAAAAATATAATAATAAATGAATAGCGGAATGCTCCATTTTAGAAACTTACCAAGTCCATTAGAATGAGAATCTGAGCTCATCATAAACACATAAATGTCATCCTCAGCATTTATTTCCTTCTCACCACTTGTGTTTTTGTCTTCACTTATCTGGATGGGGGATAGAAAAAGTCAAACAGCACTTGATGGTATCAGATAACAGTAACAGCTGGAGGTCATATAGCAGAAGACAATGCTGGAAGCTATCTCCAACTATTTATCCTTTTCTTCCAGCACCTAATATGATCATAGATGGATTTAATCCACACAATCCCTTCTTTAGAGTAGAGAGGTAGAAGAATTTTAGCAGCTGTTTAGCGATGCTCCTGGCCATGTTTTAAGAACACCTGTTCTGAATACAATTACATGGGATTTAACATGAGCTCACTGGATTTTTGAACAATATTGGTAGTTATTACCAATTAGGAGATGAGAAAATCTATGTGGTTTCTTAGATTACTTTTCTTCTTTATTTTTAAACTGATAAATGGCAGTTTGTTATCAGCCTGCAATTTTTCAATTAGGGTATGTTTGCTGAAGAATACCTGGTATTTATTTATTCAGTGTCTTTGAGTCAGTGTTTTGAACTGTCATAAAAATTATCTTATGTTTTTCTGCTGGTTTTATTTGATCTCTTGCTGCTGTAGTTATTCTTCTATTGCTGCTGGATTGAATTTTTCTAGCTGCCCTGGTCATTTATTTCAAATAGAAAAGCAGCATGAGCATTAAAATAAAATTCTAAACCTTTCTTTGCTGTCACCTGTCTATCTCCATAGGCTGAAATTCACAACCTATTGGGTATAGGTTGGGCTAGATCTAGGCTCAATATGCTAAGTTTAGATCCCACTAATTTCCTGGAGAAATACATTCAGGTTATCTAGTCTGTCTCTACCTTTATTTCCCATTATTTTATTCCAAATGCATGATTGGTAACAAAAACCAAATAATGGCAAAACATTGTTTAATGCAGGATTTTCTTTGATGAATCACGAAGCTCAAATAATAATTTTGTTTTTTTTATAAAAGTTTTTTATTTTTATTTCTCATAAACATACTTAAATGTACAATCTCTTATCCATTTTTATCATACATATGATCTTTTGACTTTCATATTAATTCATTCTTCATCCTAAAAAAATTAGGGTATATTCGGGGTTGCTCTTCTACCATTCCCACTCTCTTATTTTACAACAACCTTTTCTCTACTTCTTCCTTTCTTCTTCTATCCCTTTCTACTTTCTTCTTTCCTTGTCTCCTTCCCCTTCCCTTTCCCCACTCCTCCCCTCTTCCTCCCTTTCTAGCCTTCTCTCCTACTTTAATTTCCCCTCCCTTTCTTCCTCTCCTTGAAGCTCAGATAGCAATCTAAAGAGGATGGCATCAGGGCATTTCCCAAAATTTGTTTTTGCAGTCAGAGAAAATTAATTCTAGGAATGGTTGATAGTTTCCTCTCTCATTTGAGATGCTCAAAACATTTTTCAATGTTTCTAAAACCCATGTTCTTCCCCGTTTCTACAGCAGCTTCCTTCCTTCGACCTTACCAAGGAAAAATAGGCCTTTTTTTCCTCACAGCGTGGGGGGAGTTAGACTCATCGTATTTAGGTCTCAGAGTTGAATCACACAAAATTGTTGATAAAAGTTTGGGGGTTGTTTTTATATATATATATATTTCTTTTGAAGAGCTATTGCAAACCCAGTTTAGCTCCTTGGCAATTTTTAATGTCAATGCATGGATCCAATCTATGCTCCCATTGCCAAATGCTTGAAATGAGATATAGGTTTTCATCATATGTGGCCATCTGTTTTACTGCACAGGATTTCAAATAACTGCAGATGCTTTTGCACAATTGCTTTCAGAAATAATAAAAGGAAATATAACTTGATATTGGCAAAATGAATTTAAAGCTATATACCAAAATGCTTATATTGGGAGGAAATTTAAAATTAAATTAGAGAAAGGACAACAAATGTATTTAATGAGAATTTTTTTTTAAAAAAAGATTCATTTAGTATTTTTGTGGTATTTTTTTATTACAATTCTATACTTTTAACACACTTGAATTTTTTTTTAAATAAAAGTATTATATAGAAGGCTATATAATCATTGCAAAATTTTCAATATTTGATTGATAACAGCAGCAAGTTATTTTTCAGTTCAGATGGTGTAAGTCAAACTAAGGTCTGTGGGCCGGATCCAGCCTGCAGGGTGCTTAAATCTGGCCCTCAGGGCCGGCCTGGAAATAGCAAAGGATCAGACCGCAGTCCTTCTGGCAGCCAAAACAGGGTACCAGTGCGGGGCATACATGCCCCCCACCTCCCTTTTTGTCTGGCAAAGTGCTGGAGGAGGCTGTCCAGGCCAAAAACAGGGTGCCATGCCCCATTTTGGCAGGCAGGGTGCTTCAAGAGGTATCTGTCCCGTCTCCCCCACCCTGGCCAGACCACGGCGGAGAACTACAATGATGACCTGGCCCTTGAAGAAATCCAGTTTGACACCCTTGGTGTAAAATGTTCATATGTGACTTCTCATATAATGTTTTGTTTGGCAGAAGCGTAGCTATAACTTCAGTTTTTTTATCTTTTGAAAGGTCTGTTCTAAGTAAATTTATTTAAGCAAGATCATCAGTGCTAGGGAGCAAAAGTGAAAGAAGGTAGTCACTATTTTGTTAATGTTTAGGAATGTAAAGTAATCACATTATAGGACAGAATGCTGGTCCAGATAGGTCACTGATCTGTTCTTAGATTTGCATATTTTTGCTACTGGGGCCTCTTTGATATAATTGGCTCGTTCATATAGAAAATTGTCTTGATTCATCTAACAGCCTTTTGCATCATCCACCCAGGAATGTAACTCCCAGAATTCCCAAACAATGTAAACACTGGGAACTGTAACTAGGAAATCTGAGAATTTCAGTAACAATACATGTAGAAGGCAACATTTAGTGCAATACAGATCTAGTCCCTTAGTTTATTTCCCACAATGATTAATCAAGTATCTTCAGCAATGGCCTTTTCCCATTGTTGATTATTATTCTGCTTTGAAGTCAGACATTCTATATAGATCAATATTAGTAACTATTGATAGAACTATTGTCTATGAATGTGCTTAATTCTCTTCTTTGGTCATTCAAATTAGCTTACAATGTGGACTTGAAACCAGAGACGTTTTTACTGGGGATATTGAACAGAACCTACAGTAAAGAAATTAGATATTTGATTTTGCATATAATTACAGCGGCAAGGATAGTCTACGCACAGTCCTGGAAAAATTAAAAGGTACCAACAGAGGAAGAAACAAATAAGAAAATCCTGGACTGTGCGGAGATGGATAAATTAACGAAAGAAATAAAAGAAAAGGAAGATACAGAATATTATCAAGTATGGACTAAGTGGTACGATTGGCTAGATATTAGGGAAAGTAAAAGTGAATAAATGATGTGACAAATGTGTAAAATACTGTAAATGAATAAAACTGGAAATAAAGGGACGATAAAAATAAAGATAATAAAAGATGAGAAAAATGGCAAATGTAGAAAGTAGAAAGTAAGAGGAACAAAACTGATACGTAAAAAGAAACACATATTGTGTGTTTGTGTTTTGTATGTTGTGTTGTGTTGTTGTAAAATTAATAATTTTTTTAAAAAAATTAGCTTACAATTAGCATGCATTAGCATAAATTGCTATACAGGACTATGTAACTGCTGTACTATATATTATCTATATCTTGTTTGATGGTAAGGGAAAAAAGTAAATTAAAAATACTATTGACTACATTCTTTGATACACTTACAAGGGCCCAATGTAACACAAAAGGTACATTGTTTAATACAGTAAAATGATTATAAGAGCTCAGTTATGCATGGTCAGAAAATGACACATATTTGTAAAAATGTAAAAAGTCTTCCCAATGCTGTTTACTCAGACTCAGGATGCAGATTAAGTTGCATCCTCCTTTAATGCTGTTGAGTCATTTATCTGATTGTGTAGCTCCAATAACTTTAATTTTCTGGAGCTCAAAATACATTCAATCATAGCTGAAAACACCCCAGGATTGGCTCAAGGTATTTTGCTTTTTGAAATGGCTGTATACTACAATTAATAGCAATAGCACTTAGACTTATATACTATATTCATAGTGCTGTACAGTCCTCTCTAAACGGTTTACAGAGTCAGCATATTGCCTCCGACAATCTGGGTCCTCATTTTACTGACCTCGAAAGGATGGAAGGCTGAGTCAACTTTGAGCCTGGTGAGATTCGATCTGCCAAACTGCTGGCAGCCAGTGATCAGCAGAAGTAGCCTGCAGTACTGCATTCTAACCACGGGGCCACCACGGCTCATTAATTAAACAGTTATTATTCTCAATATCTTTCAGTGCAATTCTACTTCAGAGGATTGCTCCCCTCCCTTATTTCTATTGCATCGAGACCATTTTTTTCTGAAGGTCACATTTTCTTTCTGAAAACTATTTTGGTCCAAAGGGTTGAAAGATGTACGTTTTTTGAACCTTCTAAAGATGTTCTCTTCCACACTGAGAAGATGGGGATTGAAGGAATTGAACAAAAAGTCTTCTATCCTGTTATACTGTATTAAGACCCAACACTGATTGTGCACAACCATTCTTTACTGCCCCAACTCTCCAATCCTAGACAAGATTCAGATGCCAAGATATGGTTTTTGTCATACAAGAACAGTGATATCACTGGATCAAGAGCCAAATAGCAGAGACAAAAAAAATGGTCCTAGATCAGTGGTGAAATCCAATTTTTCTTCCTACCAGTTCTGTGGGCATGGCTTGGTGGGCGTGGTGTGGCTTGTTGGGCGTGGCAGGGGAAGGATATTGCAAAATCTGCATTCCCTCCCCACTCCAGGGGAAGGATACTGCAAAATCCCCATTCTGTCCCCACTCCTGGGGGAAGGATATTGCAAAATCTCCATTCCCACCCCACTCTGGGGCCAGCCAGTATTTGCCAGTTCTCTGGACTACTCAAAATTTCCGCTACCGGTTCTCTGAACTGCTCAAAATTTCTGCTTCCAGTTCTCCAGAACCTGCTGGATTTCACTCCTGTCCTAGACTCTATGAAAGAATGCCTCAGAAGTAGTAATCTACTACTTCA